GACGATGAATATATGTATGTTCACGTATAACTGAAAAACTGTGCCCTACACTGGAATTTGACACAACATTGTAAAATGACTATTACTCAATAAAAAAATGTTAAAAAGAAAGAAAGAAAAAATATGAAAATGAAAATATATATGTATATGTATGACTGAACTATTATGCTGTACATCAGAAACTGATACGTTATAAACTACAATAAAACAAACAAAACACACGCACATATACAAGAAATGCCTAACACAATTTAAAAGATTATAATAAAATTACCTGATGTTTAACTGGAAACGTATATTTTACCCATGTAGCTTGTTGCATGGTTTCTTCCTCTTCTTGTTTTTTCTCTTTTTTTTTTACTTTTTCCTTTTCCTCTCTTTCAATTGATGTCATCCTGTGTAACCTAAAAGTACATGGATAGAAAGACAGAATACATTTAACCTTGAAAAATAAACAAAGGTAAAAATATCATACTGAAAATTAAGAAGACAAAAATAAAGAATGGTCAGCTATAATCCCACAACCCAGATAGCCCAAACTCACAAAAATAAATAGATGTACAATTCCATAATAGGAAAAATCAAAAAGTACAAAAAAGTGAAAACAAAACATTCCCATATGCTTCTCCGTAAGAAACATACTCACTTACAACTTATTCCTAAAACATTTCATGCGTGCACCAACATTGTATTTACATAAAAGGGATATTACATTACAAATACAACTACACACTTTTTCATCGATGAGTAACTGCATTAGGAGATCTTTCCATATGAGAAGATAAAAGTATTCTTTAAAAAGACACATTATTTCCTTTCCCTAAAAGACCAACAAGTTCCCAAACTTTTATTTTATCAAGCAACATTTCTAATTCTAGCCAGCACTCAGGATTTTACAGCCTTCACAGGGTCCACTAACACAGAACTCAGGACCAAGTAGCATGTGTCTTCCTACAACCACAGAGAACGGGGCTCACGGGGCTCCTTTTTGGGTGAGGGGAAGGACTGGGCAGGAAGGACCACACTGACTATGCATTAATCATTAGGCACAGGACATAGACCACACTTTTTTTTTCAGGCAGGAAGATACATTACTGCACCCACCAGCAAGGAGATGGGCAGGCCCGGTGAGGTTCTACTTCAAGGTGACTAGTCTACATTTTTGTGAACGGGAATATGTCCCTTAAACGGGAACCTAACCAAAACTTACGAAGGAGCTCCTGTCTGTAAGAGCCCCAGTGGGAGAACTGTTTTTATCACACCCGACCCAGACGTAGCCCATTTTAAACGCACAGCTACACGGAAAGAATAAAGAGATCTTTTGTTAACTTGGGGGAGGGGCCGGTGCTAGAAAGGTATGAGAGGAGATTCAATTCTTTTTATCCCCATCTCTCCACCAAAAACATCCTCTGTCTGTCCATTTATCTCCAAGTTTTTTTAAAAAAGCTTTGTGTCCCTGTGAGTACAGGACCGTAGAATCTAACATCTCCCAGGCTGAGAGCTCATATCTGTTAACTGCACACAAAGAGTATAGCAAAGTTCTTCATTCTCCCACAACTTGGGAGAAGAGGAAAGGAATGGATTCTCACTGGGCACTACTCAGACTCAAATACCATAGACCTGTCACCACTCCTGGAATCAGGCAATGGGGCAAGCTCTGTAGGCACAGCATGGTGGATGACCTGACAGCCTCAGCTCACCAGGGTCAAGAGGGAGTGACTGAGCCAGGACCAAGTAGTACTTCTCAACAGAGTTTTTGTGGGCTCAGCTTCAAACACCCAAAGCCAGGTCCGGCACAGCAACTTTGCTGATGGTGGCCAGGAACAGAGCACTGTGTGGGGAGCACACCAGTGCAGTGACACTCTGGGAACTCACGGCTAAGCTGGGCACTCAGTTTGTGCTCTTGGTGTTTGCCCGGGAAACAGGTCCACTTTCATCACCAAATACAAAGGCTTCACTTTGTTGAGGATGCCAGGCCAGTGTGGGGAGTACTGTAGCTAATCTGGGATGTTAGCTATCCCAGAGTAAATTCTATGTTCTCACTACCTCCAAGACAATCCT